CACTAGCAAAAAAAAAACAAAACAAAACAAAACAGGATAGGCTTAGTGTAGAAGGAAAAAAAAAGTTTTATTTTATTTTGCACTTGGGTCCTATAGATGGATGCTATAACTGGATCTCAGCAAAGCATTGATTCACTGACCATGGTCTCCCTCCACCTGTCCGCTGCCCTCACCCGTGCGTGTTCTCCATCCCTCCTTGGCCAGGCTAGAGCACTCTCTCCACTCAAGGGAGTCCTTAGAGGCTGGTGTGCCCCCAGGGATTCTTCCACCTCCAGTCTGGTTTTCGTAGGAGGCACATGGGTTCCATAGTGGGTCTGGGGGACACACCATTTCTTCCACTGCATTTTTTTTAAAGGAAAATGAAAGGTTAGCATAACTGTTTCCAGAAGGCACATTGAATCACTAAGTTGAGTTGCAGCCAGTGGCTGCAACATAAGCCTTTGAAGCAAACTTCAGCCAACACGGGGCCAGCCTGGAAGCCCCAGCTATTAAACACGTGTGTGCTGGGCAGCTGGCAGATACAGTAGATTCTGCAGATTCAGCAGTGAAAAAAAATATATATATATTTGTAACTGAGGAGTACTTTGTACCTTTCAAAGGAGACAAAGAAGTGACTGACTTGGCTCATTAGATTAAAAACAAGTTGCCAGCTTTTCCTTAATTTTGGCTTTATTGGTCTGTTTTATTGCTCTTCTCCCCAAGCATCCAAAAATGAGGTTGCAACAAAATGAGCTGTTAGCTGAAGCACAGCTAGTGATGGCGTGTGGCTTTTTGTGTTTCTCTCGGCAGTGACCAGCTAACTACTATCTGGAGAATTCTAGACACCAGTCTTTCTCTGGGTGCTTTGTTGGGAGTCATCTGACCCCATGAGGGGTTGTATGCAAAGGGATTTATTAAGGCCCTCCACCCCCCCGTGCCTTTTTGATCTTACCCATTACACTATTGTCAGCTCATAGATTTTGGGAAACAGCCAGTTGTTCTGGAAAGAACCCTAATTGTCAAAGCTGAGATGATGTGGCGATCACCTGACTCAGCTCCCCGGGAAGCTGTACACCAGCTTGGATAGTAGCAGATCTCAGTTTCTCCCAGCTGCTTTTACTGAGTTTGATGACACCAGTTAGTATCATGGGGTCTCCTGCTGCTGGGGTAATCGCTTACCTTCTCCTAGACACCTCTTTTCTGCTGGAATTCCAAGTTCCTGGTTTCCACCAGTTTATGAGTAGGGCCCTGACAACCAACAGTGAAGGAGTTACTGTTGAAGGTCTCTTGTCTGTGGAGGGTTTGACCAAGCAAGAGCTGTTGGCCCTCCAGTGGGATTCTAGGTCTCCTTCTACTCTGTAGTACGGAGCCTCAGAGCTCCTCTTCTGCCTCACAGTTTGTATGAGTCTGACTTGCTAGCCCTCCACCCAGTGGGAGAGTGACATGAGCAATGGGACCAGTAAGCCTTTTTTTCCCCCACCAGGGCCTTCCCAGCTGTCAAGAGGATTAACTTTTACCCTGTTTACTTCTTAGGCGAGCTGTGAGGCTCCAGCAAGATGGGGAGATGTGTGAAGTGTTTGTCAGGAAGAGGGGCTGGCGTCTTCGTTTTCGAGATGGCCTGTGGCTGGTATGGCTTCAAAGGGAGTCTCAGACAGAGTGTCTGCTGCTGGGATCCTGGAGACGGCTTTGATGTGGGTGGCGTGGGGAGCAGCTTGCAGACGGATGCAGGGTAGAGCAGGGCATGGCGGTAGGCCGGGTGTCATGGGTAGGATGCGAGTGGACCTCAGCGCGTAAGGCCGCATCTGCAGATCGGGCTGGGACGTGGCTGTGCCTTGCAGCCATGTGTGCATTTTATCTTCCCCATGTCTTCCCCACCCCCTGTGGTACATATGTCTAGACAGCAGTGGAGTTAAAAGCTCAATTACTGAGCAGGAATTTGGCCAGCGGAGCTGTAGCTAGCTGCCGAGCAGACGGCCTTGGCCTGAGGATGGCGGCTGAGAATGAGACCCACTTGGATCTGAACAGGCTGAAGAGCCTGGGGCTGGTGTAGCCAGCTCACACCTGTGGGGAGCAGGGGCCCAACAGCGCCCCAAAGGCACTTGACCTCACGGAGAGCTGTAAATCTGGCCTGGCCGACATCTCGACATCTTGGCACCACCTCACTCCTTCGCAGGGATTTCTGTCTATAATTAGAGTCCAGGAGTCAAGGCTTCTGCATTATGGGATGGGATGCAGGTCCAAGACGGCGGGGAAGGCGGGGAGAAGGGGGAGGAGATAGGCGGGGGGCTGTTCTTTTACTTAGCCAGGCTGCTTGTCAGTTGGGAGAAATCTTTCCATCTTGGAACCTCTGTTTCCCCATCTGTAAAATGGAGAAAACTGTGCCTTGAGTGCCTAGGTCGCTATGAAAGGACTTTGTTGTCTTTGGGCAACAAGGTTCCTATCTTTCCACTAGGCCCAGGTTTACATGAGAAGTCACCCCTCTGTGCCCCGTCCCAGAGGTTTCCTCGCTTAGTTCTGTCTTGCGATTACCTTTCACAATCTATGACGTGTCTGCGTGAATTAACGAACAAGTTAGGGGAACATGACGGGCGGTGCTGCTCACCAGAGCGTGTGTGACGGGTGGCCATACTCCCCGAGGGCCCCGCTGAGGCCTGCTTCCTGGGGACACTCGGGGTTCTCATCAGCGCTCTCCACCTTGTCTAAGCCCAAGCGGTCATCCGTGACTTCACTGTGTTTGGGCCAGGCTTGTCCACGGAGCGCCCTGGACCTGTGGTGGCAATGAGCAGTATCCCACGGAGGCCTGGCTCTCCCGGGGCAGCAGATACCACCCAGGCCTCCATCTCCTGCCTTTGTGGACATCTCTCTCCTACTGTCTTCACAGCTTTGCCTCTGGGCCTGAGTCAGACTTTGGAACAGAATTTCAGGACAGAGTTATCTTTAGGTCTCTGCCATCTAAGGCCTCAGACATGGGGCTCATGTCTGGCTCGCTTCCTAGGAGGTGGGGGAGGGGCAGTGAGCTGGAAAGGGAACAGTCTAAATAATGATTAAATTATCCACAGCAAGTCCTACCTCAAACCTTCAGATATGGTCTCTCCTTTGTGGCCGAGGCTGGGCTGGGCCCAAGTCTGAATGTGACTTCTGCTTACCACTCCACTTCCTTGGCTGCCAGGGTGATCTATGGTAGATGCTTTGCCCCATCCCTTGGTCTGACTCTCAAGGCCAGCCCTGAAAAAGATAGGACCTCCAGCCAGTCAAAGGAATGGCACTGTCACAGACAGACCTCCCCAGAGTGGCCGTGAGCACCAGCCGCAGGTCTCCCACCCACCCGTGGTGATGGCTGAGGTCATTCTTGGCAGGGACAGCTGGCCCAGGCCCAGGGTAAACATGCTAGGCTGAGCTTTCTGCATGGAGTATGGGGCTATGTAGGGAATGCCACAGGCATTGGCCTCAGATGACCCCCAAAGGGGAAGGTTCACGGACAGTGCCTTACAAGGTGGCATGCGATGACTTGGACAGCACAATGGATGGAGAAACACCACCCCCATTGAGTTTGTTCGGAACACACACTGGGTACGCTACCCAGGACTCAGCTGGTGCTCACACCAGTGTTCTGAGAGCTGCTCAGACTCTTAAGGGACCTGGTTCTTAAAATAGAGCAGGGAGACGGGTGGGTGGGGCCTGACTGGTTAGAAGCTCAGGCTGGAGCTCAGTCCAGCAGCCTGGCCCAGGCTCTGTGGGGAGGCTTGGTGTCTGTGTGCTGAGGGGTGCTCCTCCTCATCCTCACAAACGTACAGTCAGGGAGGGCCTGACTCTTCTCTACATTCCTCACATGACTTCTTAGCCGGCAGCCGGGACAATTCTTGTTCCTAAGTACGTGGAGGATGAGGGGTGGTGGTGGTGTACTTTGGCCTGATGCTGTATTGTGGCTGAGAGTTGGGTTGTGGCTCTCATTCTTAGGGGTGAGCCCCTACCCCATGTCCCCATCACCCTGTCCTGGAAGCTCTCTATCCTTATCTGTTGCACGAGCCCAGTGACCACCTCAGCTCTCCAGTGTGGTCTGCACTGCTCTTGGCAGAGTTGGGGCTGAAGTGAGGACTGCTTCCCACTCACCCCTCCCCCATCCCTGCTCTGCCCCTTTGCCTCCTTTTCCAAGGTGGTCCCCATGAGGCCTCCTGAGTTGCCATAGCCTGAGGCCTGGGCCGGCTCTTGGCTTCCTGTGCCTGGTAAACGTTGGACTCACTCAGTGAGCAAAGCTGAAGTACTCAGGAGGTTGCTGGGCTATGGGTGGGAAGAAGGGAGCAGGGCCCGAAGGCCTCGTGATGGACTGGGAGTCTCCAGGTCTCTTCTCCCCTTCAACTGGAACAACTCTGGAGCGGGCTCCACAGTTCCATCTTGTTCTGAACAGTGCTCAGGCATCAGAGGTGGTGAACGGGTCACGGACATCTTCTCAGGATGTGAGAGACAGCACTGCTCAGGCCTGGTGTCCAGGCTCTGGAGGCTGCTGCCCCCTCTCTCCGGCCCTTTGCCTGCCCAGCTCTGCCATGTGCTTAGTACAGGGTGACAGAGGAAGCTGGCGTGAGACCCTGCCCGCAGGGCTCCTCACTCCCAGAACCAGGGAAGGTGTGCGCGTGGGAAGTGAGGCAGGTTCCAACGACTCCCCAGGCCGGTGGGGACTCAGCATCCTGCCTTAGGCCTTCTGTACGACCACTCTAGGCAATGGCCTCGATCCACAGTTCCCAGTGTCCTCCTCGGTCCTCTCCCCTGAGCAAGTTTATGCTCCATGATAATTAGAGACTCCAAAATGGCTTCCTGTCACTTTCCTGGCGTGCCCTGTTGCCTGGTCCCCCTGTTAGCTGGCTTCCATGTATGGTATATGGATTATAGTGGATTTCCCAGCCCCAGCAAAGGGTGCCAAGCTGAGCTCAGTTCTCCAGGCTTGGTGTTTCCAAGTGTCCAGTCACTGCGTGGTCTTCTACTATGTCCACACTGAACAAACACCACCACGTCCCTTGTCTTTGCAGGGAAAGCTGCCCGTTCTGCTGCTGGGCCGCTCCTCAGAGCTGCGGCCGGGAGAGTTTGTAGTCGCCATCGGAAGCCCCTTTTCCCTCCAAAACACAGTCACCACGGGGATCGTGAGCACCACGCAGCGAGGTGGCAAAGAGCTTGGGCTCCGGAATTCAGACATGGACTACATCCAGACAGATGCCATCATCAACGTGAGTCCCCTCCCCGGCCCCTCCCCACCGCTGGCAGGGTTATGCCAGGAAAGCTGGGCCTAGGGATGGGGGCCAAATCACCATCTTCACAGTGTTGTCTAAGGTTCCCTTTGAACCCCTGAAGCAGAGGAGGCAGGCTTGGCAGCACTCAGGGAGCAATCGCCACCACTTCCGCAGCTAACACCTCGGGTTTGCCAAGAGGCTGCCCTGGGAGGCGCTCCTGGCCTGCCCACTGGGTCAGGGCTCCCCTTTACACAGGCGCCATGGCCCGCAGGAAGCGGGTGCTCTGCCGTGTGACCGCCGTTCTCAGTCCCAGTCTGAGCACCAAGCCTCCACCACTCCATGTGACTCCTCCCATGAGTGCTCCGTGCCGATCCAACCATGGAATCTTTCCATCATCACAGAGTTTCCATTTCAGCCTTCTCCCTGTAGGATCAGTGTTTGTGGAAAGCAAGCTTTTCTCCTCACATCTGTCTAATACATAAGAAACCCAATCCTTGCTACCTCTTGTCGGTGTTATTCCAAAATTTTATAGTCAGTGCATGTGAAGTTGTGGAGCTAGAGCAAGCCGTGGGTGACTCCAGTGCGGGGTGAGGTGGGGTCCCGCAGAAAGGCTGTGTGGGTTTGAACCGGGGGATCCTGTAGTAAGCGGATAGCCCGCTTCACTCCAGGAGGAGGAAATGGCTGTGGGGTGAGTGTAGTAGTTCAGACAGCTTCTAAATGTCCTAAAACTGTCACGGTTATAACCTTTCTGTCTCTTTGATTTCAGTATGGAAACTCCGGAGGCCCATTAGTGAACCTGGTAAGGCGGTTCAGTTCTTATGTTGCATCATTTTGGCTGTTTGGCTTTGCTTTCTTTTTACATACGACCTTGCCCAGTGCATGTGATATAACTATCTTAAAGCGAGCTCTGCATATTTTCACCCACTCACCAAACCTGAGATTTTTCTGGAAGGAGTGAGGCTGGAGGACGTGGTTGCGTTTCAGGGCTACGGGTGAACACACACAAGTCCAGTCCTTCCCAGCAGAAACTGAGCAGCCTGGTGCTGAAGGCCTCAGCTGTGTGAAGTGCCTCAGGGGAGGAGGAGCTGCCGTGAGTCAGCCACAGGCTTGGCCAAGGCCAGAAATCCTCCCTGAAGGCACTCAAGTGAGAGGACTCAACCCGCTCACAAAGATCTCTTGCTTAGTTAATACTCAATACTTAAGCATAAAATGGAAGCTCAGAGCCATGGACAGCTGGAGGGTCATTCATGCAGGACGACCTTGAGGCCTTCTGTAGTAAGCCTAGGGTGAGGTGGCAGCCTAGGTGAGGGTCCATGGGCATCAGGTACTAACATTGCAGCATTGTTGGGAGGAGCAATTGCCACTGTGGCAGCTTTTCTTTCCCAGCAGTGGAAATGGGAATGCTCAGCTATGCCCCGCCCCTCTCCCCCAGGCCTGCAGGGCTGCTCCACCTGGGGGAGCTGCTGTGGGTAGAGCTGCCTGTTCCCAGCAGTGAAGCCCTTCAGCCCAGGCTCCATGGTAGTTTCTCTCACTATCTGCAGTCACACCAAGGTCACTGAACTTGGGAGAGGCAGGAAGTGTGGCAGCCATCTTGAGACTCAAAGATTCTGGGGACATTTCCCTGTGAAAGGAGCAAATACTGCGCATTTCAAGACTGCCTGTACATGCAGTCACAGTTCCCACCCAGATCTCTCCATCCTTCTGGGGCAGAGCTTCCAGATGCCCCACCCCCGATGCCCCTCCCCACCCCTGATGCCCCTCCCCTTGCCACCCCAGGACCTCCTTCTGCCAGTCCTCTTTGTTCTCTGACATACCACGGATCTTTCTTTTCTTTCTTTCTTTCTTTCCTTTCTTTCCTTTTCTTTCTCTTTCTTTCTTTCTTTCTTTCCCTCCCTCCCTCCCTCCCTTCTTCCTTCCTTCCTTATAATGAGCCAGGCTCCAGTGGCTCACGCCTGTAATCCTAGCTACTCCGGAGGCTGAGATCTGAGGAATGCGGTTCAAAGCCAGACAAGGCAGAAAAGTCCGTGAAACTCTTATCTCCAATAAAACACTCAGAAAACCAGAAGTGGCGCTGTGGCTTATGTGGTAGAACTCTAGCCTTGAGCTGAAGAGCTGAGGGACAGTGCCTGGGCCCAAAGTTCAAGCCCACTGACTGACAAAAAAAATTAATAATAAGTAAAATTGTACAAAATTATGGGGTACAGTGTAACAATTCAGTGTATGCAAGCAGCCTGTAAGGATCATAGTACGATAGCTGACATTTCCATCTCCATAAGCTTTTCTGAAAGACTTCTTTCATTTACTCCTGTATCCCTTTTGGATTTACTAAGCCATTTCCACTTTGCTTTGCAGGATGGCGAGGTGATTGGAATCAACACTCTGAAGGTGACTGCGGGCATCTCCTTTGCCATCCCGTCTGACAAGATCAAGAAGTTCCTGACTGAGTCTCATGACCGGCAGGCCAAAGGTAAGCAAGACCCAGACAGCCTGGGAAGCTTGCAGAAGGTGTTCTGTCCTGAGGCTTAGCTGCCCTCTGGGGACTCAGAGAAGGGAAAGATAGCAGCTTCTACCACACACAGTCTGGCTCTTAGGAAAAATTGAAAGGATCTGTGTATGATAAGCCTCTGACATTAGGCCACAGGTTCTGTGCTATGGTCATGGAAATTACACATGGTCTTAATCTACTAGGTACCAGGTATGAGCCTGGATGACTGTAGTGTGTTATTTTGCCTATCTCTTCATTGAACACTGAATTCCTTTTCCTCGTCAGATGGGAATTACCATTTCCATTTGGCTGTTCTTTTATTCTGCTAGTGTTAATTCACCTGTCTGCTTTGAGACAGACAAGTCATCCTTGACGTTGTTATTTTTGTGCTGATAGTCACCTAGGGCTTGAACTCACGGTCTTATACTCTCACTTAGTTCTTTTGTTCGTGATCAGCATCCTACCACTTAACTTGAGCCACACCTCCAGTTCTGGACTTTTTACTGGTTAATTGGAGATAAGAGTCTCTCAGATTTGTCTGCCTGGACTGGCTCTGAATCACAATCCTCAGATCTCAGGTTCTTGAACAGCTGAGATTATAGACCGCTGGCGCCCAGCCTTTATTTTATTATTTTAATTGTACTAATTTATAGGCAGTGGGCAGCTTCGCCTGGGGCCTGGCAGGTGTGATGTTTATGTTCTGGGAAGAGGCTGACTGGCAGTCAGCAATCAGATAAGTAAGATAATGTCCAGTGGCAACAAGCACCCAAGGAAAGGAGGCAGAGAAGATGTCTGGGAGTGACCGGAGGGGCTGATGGTAGCTGTGAAATGTCCAGGAGAAGGTGCCAGCAAGGGGTGGGGTGAGCAGTACGGGCAGGAGTAGTAGATTGGGCAGCCAGTGAACCAGGTCCTGTGTGGCCACAGAGCAGCAGTGTGGCTCCACAGGGTGGTAGGATGGAGGCCCGCAGGAGGTCATGACCCAGGGCCTGGATTGCACCTTCACTATATGAGATTAGGCAAGTGAGTGGTGTGGTGGATGTCTTTGGAAAAGACCGCCCCAGAGGCCAGTGGGGAAGATGGAGGCTAGTGAAGGGGCTCTGCCAGTCATCCACAGGAGAAACAGATGCTGGGGCTCTGGCCAGGCTGGTGGGCAGTGGAGTTAGAGCAAAGCAGTCCCATTCTGGCATTTGTGGGGAGTGGAGCTGGCCTGGGGAAGGATCAGAGGCTGGGCTGAGCCAGTGAGGGATCAGGATTGACCACTCCTCAGCTGAAAGGATAGGACTTTCCCCAGGTCCCCCAGCAGGCCGGGCTGTAGACCAGGACTGAACCACAGCCAGCCCAGCCATGACCTCAACACTGCACCCTGAGGCACTGGACTGCCTCTCCCGGGTCCCCCCCCTCCACCCCTCCCTTCCCTGTCCTGCCCACTGGGCTGACCTGTCCCCTGTTCTTTCACCAGGAAAAGCCATCACCAAGAAGAAGTACATTGGTATCCGAATGATGTCGCTCACATCCAGGTGGGTTAACGGTGTGTGTGTGTGTGTACATGCATGCATGTGCTTGGCACTTAAGTAATTCTGAATCTCACAAGGTCATCACCTGACCCCTGAAAGGTAACTGCCCACTGCCATCAGATAGTTCAGCACCTGCTAAAAGGGACACTCCCTGGGGAAGAAGAGAGGCCTGAGCTTGGGCCCCTTTCTCTTCTTTCTTCCTTCTTCCTCCTCCTCCTTCCTCCGATCCAGAAGTGTCTGCTGCTTTTTTTCTTTGAAGGCAGGCCTCAGTGGCACAGGGGCCGGCTCATTCTGCTCACTCCGGGCTCCCTCTCCCCACTCCCCTGAGGAAACCGCATTCCAGGAGAGCCCCGGCACCTCCCGTTCACTCTGAGCCGTGGGAGGTGGCTGCAGGAATGCCAGGGCAGGCCTGCTGGCACGGCAGCCACAGATGATGGATGGGCTTGTTTTCCCAAGCTGTCGAAGTTGCCACCTGGGGTTGCCAGGCTCATGATGGACTAGAGCAGAGACCTAGAGGGAAAACAGGGGGGCGGGGGGATTGACAGTGAGGCTCAGAGCGGGCTCATCTGGCATGGCTAAGGCAGTTGTAGTCCAGGAAGTAAAGAGTGGAGTATACTCACAGATACATTATTATGTGAATTATTATAATTTTAAGGCAATTGTCAAAATATTGAGACAGTTTGATGCATATGTAGAGAGAATCATTCTTAGCATCCTAGGAGGTGATTTGCCAAGACTAAAGTGACACCCCCTGTTTGTCTGGAACCAGGAGAGATGGAGGTGTAGGGACAGAACAGAGACTGTGGGGTCAGTCCCTGCTCTGCTTCCTGGCTGATGACCTCCGAAGTGCCTGGGCCTTCCCTGCAGGGTGTGGGCAGCGGTGCAGGTGCATGTGCCGGGCAGCCAGCTCGGGTGGGTGAGGGCTGCTGTGATCGCCAGCCACACGGGCTGTCCTGTACTTGCTCTGTGCCAGGCACTGGGAAGGGGCCTTCCTTGATGACCTCATCTGATCCTCACAATGGCCCTGTCATAGATCCCTATAGCTAACTCTATTTTCTGCAAAGGAAAAAAAAAGGCGCAGAAAAGTGAAGCCACTGCCCAAGGCAACTCAGCTAGCAGGTGTCAGTCGGGACCAGACATCAGCTAGCAGGATCTGTAGACTGGACCACACATCAAGACTGTCTTGCTCTTTTGATGTTTAACGCTATTAACTGATTAATAAATAGTAGTAATGATAATAATAGCAATGGAAGTACTTCCCCACTGTTGAGAAGTGGTCCTTTGACTCTCTCAGGTCGGTGGTAACAAAGTAGAATCTGAACTCAGAGGAATTTTTGCACGGGATTAGAGACGAGGCGGGATCTGGCTGGGGCTGAGTGCTGGCAGAGGAAAGCCTGTGGGTGCCTAGTATTAACACGAGGGCGTTTCCTCCTGAGCAGCAAGGCCAAAGAGCTGAAGGACCGCCACCGAGACTTCCCAGATGTGCTCTCTGGGGCGTATATCATCGAAGTCATTCCCGACACCCCGGCAGAAGCGTGAGTGAGAGGATCTTCTCTTTTGCCAGTGTTCACGTGGCTTCTAGTGTCACGGGCAGGGGAGGGAGCATGTTCTTTTTATACTGGCCTGGGGACTCGTGTTCACCTTTGAAAAATGTGGCTGGATATCGTGTTCCCCTCCTGCCGGCCCGGTCTTCCCCTCGGCTGGACCGAGGGCTTTTCTGCTTCTCAGAGCCCTCAGACCAGACGAGCAAGAGCAGGTTTTCCCCTGCGGAAAGTCAGGGGGCAGAGATGGGGTGATGGAGCAGTGACCCCCATGACCTCAGGACACATCTCCTTCCAGAACCTTCTTTAACTGTGTCAGTGAGCAGTTAGGCCACACCTGCTTTCAGGCAAATGACACAACTGCCATCAAAGGAACGTCAAAAGATTGGCTCAGCCTAGCGTCAGACCTAATGTAATATCTAGAGAGACGTCGGGGGCTGGCGCTAGCTGGCTGGGCCTGCTTCTTTATGACTGACAGGATGAGAATAGAGAGGGTGAGAATTCATTTTCACATGGTTGAACAAAGGTCGCAAAGTAACGAGCGCTTTGTGGCAGAAGAACACTCTGAGCAATGACATTTCCCGTGTACACACATGTGTCATCCGGACACAGCCATGCCCCTTCGATTTCAGACCCTGCTGGGCTTTGTGCTGCTGCTGTGCCAGTGAACTAGCTAAGGACAGAGACCAAATGTCCCATGAAGCCTAAAGTACTTCCTGTCTGGTCTTTTATGGAAAAAGATTGCGTCTTCCCTATGTTAGGCCAGGCCGGTCCATGAGAACATCTGGACCCTGTCACAGACAGGAGGGAAGTCACAGCCACAGCAGACATGGCCCACTACTCTTGGAAGACTTGCTCTTTGAGTCACAGTATCTATCACAAGCAAATTGGCCTCCGTCACAGTAACATGGCAGGTTGTACCACATGTATCTGCAACCCCATCTGGGGTCGGTCTGTCCTAAGATCATACACATGCCGCAGGCACATCTGTAATGGATGTACTTGAGGATATGGCCTAAAAATACCTCCAAAGAAAGCGCCACCCACCGATGGCGTCAGTCACTCTTTGCTGAATCCACACCATCTCTGAATCCTGGACCCCTTTGTGCTGGGCAATTTGATTCTAAGCCGCACCTCTCTCGATCACTTGGGTGGCCTGAACATATTACCAGTATGTTTCCCTTTGTGTTACAGTGGCGGTCTCAAGGAAAATGATGTCATCATCAGCATCAATGGACAGTCGGTGGTCTCCGCCAATGACGTCAGTGACGTCATTAAAAAGGAAAATACCCTCAACATGGTTGTCCGCAGGGGCAATGAAGACATTATGATTACGGTGATTCCAGAAGAAATCGACCCCTAGGTGGAGGCAGGAGCTGGACTTCATGTTCCCTCGAACACTGTCTAGTGGATGATGCGTGGGGACTCTGGGCTGGTGGCAGAGGACACCGGGGACTCTGCGCCACCGTCTCCTCGGTTCGGTGGAAATGCCCTGGCCTACAGAATCCTTCTTGATAGTTTGCAGGCAAAACAAATGTAACGTTGCAGATGTGCAGGCAGAAGCTCCGCCTCTGTATCCTATGTATGCTGCGTGCTTGCCCTCGCCAGCTTGGGCCGCTCCTGCGTAGACAGTCAACATTTGTCCCTTCCTTTAACTGAGCTGTCGTCTTAATCCGACTAATGCGGTTGACGTGGTGCGTAGATGAGAGGAAGGCCTCTGGGAACCAGAAGGGTTCTGGCCCTGGTGACATTTCCTCCGAGTCAGCACCCAGACGAGGTGGACGCGTGGAGACCACGGGTGGCGAGCCCTGGCTTCTGAGCTGGCCAGAGTCGCCTCTTTTAGGAATCTCTTCAGAACGGGGGAGCAAGATGACGTTGAATTTGAGCTATTAAAGTACTTCTTCATACTTGGCTTCTGAATGCGTTTCTTTCTCATAGCCACTCATGGTCTTGGTGAAATGGTTCTGATGGCAGGGGGCTCCTCAGGAAAATCACGTGGTGTGTGAGTTATTTCAGAATCACCCCGAGGGATTTGCCGGTGTTCTACAACCCTGCTCGGTCACCCCGGCTTTGTGAATAAGCCTGGAGATAGTTCCACTTGCATCTGGAGCTTTTCAAACGAAGGGGAGTCTGTCAACCCCGTGTACCATGCAATCAGTCAACAAAGATTTTTCTGGGCCTCTGCCGTGTGCCAGGCACTGGGCCAAGCATGGCGGGCGGTGGCCTGAGCAGGACACATGCAGCTTCCCTCCCTTGAACTTCTACCAAGAAGGCAGGCGGCCAGGCAGGAGTCTACCACAGAGCCTCAGGACAGGCCCATTCTAAATTCTCAGAAGGCACAGAAGGGCAGCCTTGGTTTGAAATAAGAACTAGATAGACCTGTAGCCTTGGAGAGTTGGAAGCAGGAATCTGTCAGCATCTTCTCACAAGGCAGGCTTTCTCTGCTTAGAGAACCGCTCTCTCCAAGAAAACCTTCCAAGAGTTTATAAAGCTAGGCCCATGAAGGCTGTTACAAAACAGCCTGTTGGCCTGAGAGTGCACAGGCCTAGGTCCCTGAAGAGAGAGGCTGCTGATGGCAAGAGCCAAAGGTCAAAGGCTGCCTAGCCCTCGTCAGCCCTCAGGGGGAGCTGGCAAGGGAGGGAAGTCCTGACCTAGAGCTTCGTTCTTCCTCTGCTCACAGATCCATAAGGCCCAGTTTGTAGCTGGAGAGGCTGTGGAAGGCCAAAGGCCTGAGTGCGGTACAGGGGCTGATGCTTTCCAGCAACGGCTGCGTGGAGAGTGGTGCTGAGCAGCTGTGGCCCTCTTGTAGCCTGGGGCCAACCCAATCCTCCGCTCGGCTGGTGTTGGAGTCAGAAAGGAGCCAGCAAGTCCTTTTCATTCTTGGCATTGTTTTGCATTCCCTCCCTCCTATTTAAAGATCACGCCTAGAGTGGCTGATGGCTTCCAGGTTCATTCTCAGATGCTGCGTGTGCGGCTGGGAGGAAGGGAGGGGGCCTGTCCCTGTGCTGAGCGAAGGCTGCAGGTCAGGTGTGAACAAAGCACCAGGTGGTGCAGAGGTCAGAGCCAGCCCGCCTGTCATCAGCCTGTGGGCATGGGGGAGACCGCAGCTGGGTCTTCTGAAGAAGGAAGCCCAGGGCCTCGGTGGAGACCTCTGAACCTTCTACCACCTCTCCCGGGGCCGACAGGACTCTGGAGGGAGGCGGCTGTTCTGCCTGTGGTCATGCCCAAGCTGCAGATAGGACAGTTCAGCACTTCATGGTACTTGATTGGGGGACCCCGGCTTCTGGGGGTGCTGCTGGCCCTGGTACCACCCTTCACTGGCACTGGGAGGCATCCTGACATCTCTCAGGACACTTGTTTCTTCTGTTTGCTTTGGACTGTGATGGAGGTTTTTGCACATAAATTAGCCTTAGAATTCAGGCTTTTGAAGCCAGATAGGGTTGCATTTAAATCCAGTGTCTGCCTCTCACTGGCTGTGTGACTTTGAGCAAGTTGCTTAGTCTCTCTGTGCTGTTTTCTGTCATCTATAAAATGAAGGTAATAGTAATACCTATTTTCTTCCACTTTTTGGAGCATTAAGTTATTTTATGGTGCACATGGTAAGCGCTTGGTAATGAATATTAGTGACATAATAGTGTCTTCGAGCCTTGATTTTCCTTGTGTAAAATGAGGAATAATGACTTCCCAGTACAGGTGTAAAATATGACAGTAAGATAAATACACGTTCTCTCCTGGCCTGCCATGATTCTCTGTTGGGTGCTTTCTTCCTGTGTGTCAGCGATCGCATGGAGCACTGAGCAGTCATTAGCTCGCTTAGCCTTGGAGCAGTTCTGAGGTGGAGGCCACGTTTATCCCTTCCATTAGGAAAAGAGCTCAGACACGCAGCTCTGCTCTGGCTCCAGCTCCAGCCCCGTGGGCCTCTCTGCGAGCCATAACTCCAAGACCATCCTGTCTCTTCTTCCATATTTCTCCTTAGCCTCACAGGTGATCATAGAACCAGGCTCACAGTTCCTCAATTGCAGTCCTCCCGGCCCTTCCAGACCCCTCCGATGTCCCTTTCACAGCCTCCCCGCTGGTAGCCAGCAGCCTCACCTCTTCTGTCTCCTGCTTGCCACGCAGGGGCTCACCCATACCTCCTTCTGCCTCAGCTCTTTGGCTCTGAGCTTCTGTGGCCAGCTTTGCCAACTGTAAGGGCTATCATTTGCCGGGAGAAAGCCTTTGTTTGTTTGTTTGTTTGGTCCTGGGGCTTGAACTCTGGGCCTGAGTGCTGTCCCTGAGTTCTTCAGCTTCAAGGCCAGTGCTCTACTACTTGAGCCACAGCGCCACTTCTGGTTTTCTGGTGGTTTATTGGAGTTGTGTCTCATGGACTTTCCTGCCCAGGCTGGCTTTGAACCGTGATCCTCAGATCTCAGCCTCCTGAGTAGCTAGGATGATAGGTGCCTGGCAAACCCATTTTTTAATATATATTTTTTTATTGAAAAGATACTATACAGAAGGGTTACAGTTACATGAGAAAGGTATGAGTACATTTCCTGTCCAGCATTGTTACTCTCCTCCTTTGTTTTACCCCTACCATCCCTTCTCTCTCCACCTCCCCGACTCCTCCTCCCCCCCTCCAAAGTTGTAAAGTTCATTTTCAACATAGTGTCTTGTACATCTCACTGTTACCATGGGTCAACCTGTATCCTCGTCTCAGCATTTTGTTAGTTCAAGCCCATGCTTTTACTGGGACTTGAGCAGCCTGTATCCTAACGGGTCAGCATGTTAGGCCAGTAGAGCCTTGGACAGTGGCAGGGAGCTAGGCTCATTTTAGAAGAGGCCCCTGCAGGGGGCTATACCTGGCTGTGTGCAGTGCCACGGGAGATGAAGGGCTGGTGAGCAGATCCTCAGGGTTTGAAGTGACCATGAGGGTCACGGATGGGCCCCCATGATGCTTTTCCTGCTGTCTGTCCTGCCAGCGCTGACCTTTGTAGGGGCTTCCTGGAGCTCTGGGCCGAGGCCTGTGAGACTCTGTGAAAGGGAAGTGGTGTTCAGTCTCACTCCTGGTCCAGGGCACTCTGACCTTGGTGGTGTTCGGGATGTGGCCTGGCCTCAGCTCCGTGGACATGGTCAAGGGCAGAATCAGCTCAGGGATGAGGAGCTGTTTTGTTGCCCTCCATCTGAGAGCACCATCTCGTCTCTCTCTCCACACGTGGTTACTACTCCAAGTATTCTTTACTGCATGCCTTGTAGCTGCTGTAGGTGTTCAGGTGTTGGTGGTGACAAGCATTCCAGGATGCCTGGCCAGCAAAATATCCTGTAAGCTCCTTGCTTGGTGAATGAAGGGAAAGTGGGCTTTGTGTCCAGGAGCTGGTCCAGGGCAGGCCTGGTAGTGTTGCTGAGGGACAGGACAGGGGCAGCGTACCATTGCAGATAAATAGATGATGCAGAATGCATCAATCCATGGCACAAAGGTCTGTGCCCAGCAGGGTACAGGTGTTTTACAGTTAGCCCCCAGTAACTCCAGGGAAGAGGAGCTATTATCTCATTTTGCAGATGAGGAGAGTAAGACTCAGGGTAAGGAATGTGCCTAAGTTCACCCAGATAAGCTTTTTCCCTCAAGGCTGGTGCTCTAACCACTTGAACCTCACCTCTGCTTCAGCTTTTTGATAGTTAATTGGAGATAATAACCTCTCATATTTGTTTGCCCCGGTTGGCTTTCAACTGTGATCCTCAGAATCTCAGCCTCCTGAGTAGCTGGGATTATAGGCATGAGCCACTGGTGTCCCATTGCTTGCATTGTTTTAAAACTCTGCAGATATTTATTCCACTTCAAGTCATAAAATGGATGGAGACCTATGTTTTAATGTACAGTGATGTAGTGGTCTTCAATACAAAATTCAATTTACAGAAATCTCCAAGTAAACATAAAGAAATGATCGATTTTGAAACTATTTTTATTAGGAATGTTTTACACAGAAAAAAACCCGTTACATCTTTTTAGGGTTGAAATTCTACATTAATGTAATATAACCTACTGACAGTTTGTATGACTAAACATCTAAATTGCTAAATTCTCTGTTTTCTCAACTTAAATATCTGTACTCAGTGTGAAAAGTCTGTATACAATGGAACAGAGACCCCAAGAACAAACAGAATTCTCTAATCTTTATGGCTGCAAGAGTTAGCTTATAAAAATATTAAAGGAATGATCAAAATGTACTTGTATAGTCAAAGAAGTCAGCCAGGCTTTCTCGGTTTTGTACTTCAGAAGTGCCTGGAAACACGTGACTAGAAGCAGAGCACCGTGTCTCTGTGAGCTGCGGTTTCACGTGTAGTTCTAATCACCCTTATTCTTCTCAAACTTTGTGCACACATTGCTCCATACCAGTGACAACTTGTCAAGCCATCACTTTGGCTTGAACACACATTCCTGGGATCTGGGTAGCTGCTCAGAGGGCATAATTTGATTATGCACATTGAAACAAGACCCACCTTACCTTATTAAAGTTTACTTAATTTGCCAGGTGCTGGTGGCTCACACCTGCCTCCTAGCTACTCAGGAGGCTGAGATCTGAGGATCACGATTCAAAGCCAGCCCAGAAAGGCAGAAAGGAGACTCTGTGAGACTCTTTATCTCCAATTAACCAGCAAAAAGCTAAAAGTAGAGGTGTGGCTCAAGTGATAGAGTGACAGCCTAGAGTGAAAAGACCAAACATAAGAACAAGTACACACACATACAATTATATTTATGTAATATATATACACAATATTTATATGGTGTACTTTTTTCCAGTTCTGGGACTTGAACTCAGGGCCTGGGCACTGTCCCTGAGCTTCTTTTGCTCAAGGCTAGTACTGAGAAAATGAACCCAGGGCTTCATGCATGCTAGGCAAGCACTCTACCACTAAGCCATGTTCCCAGCCC